TCGTCAACAGAGATCCGCCGCGCGTCCACCGTTGTCACCAGAGGATGTCCAGCACCGTCAGCTTGTGTCTGGCAACGTTGTGTTTTCAATGCATTAAGACAACTAGCAAAAAAAGCGAGTTTCACTGCGACAACTCGAAACGCAAGTATATAGGTATGGAGCAGAAGGCGACATCGTTGCAGCGCCAAAACGTGTGTCCCCTGCTCCCTACACAGTCTTAGTTTCTTTTGAGCATTTCTTGATTTGTCAATTTTCATACACTGAAAGAAAATAGTACCAGTAACTCTGCTCATATTTCGCTGCACTTCATACCGTAAAGGTTTTAACAGCAGGAATTGTTGATTAGGTTCCATATTTTGTTACATGAATGTGAGCTATTTGTGCACTTCAGATAACGCAAACGTTGAATTGGGCTGTACGAATGACAAGTGAATTGGAGACAAATATTGTCGCTGTGGAACGTATCAAAGAGTACAGCGATACTCCGATCGAAGGAGCTCATTCCAAAGAGAAGCCAGCCGATTCATGGCCACAGCAAGGAAGGATTGACATCAGAAATGTCTTTTTGAGGTGTGTTAACAAACCAGTCCTAGGTAGAGCTAGTGAATTCACAGATAATCAGGGATTCGCTATGGTACCAGTAGATTTAACTAATTGTAAGTAACTTTCTGAGAAACTAATTCGATCAATATTTTTGTGTCCGAACTTGACTCGTCTGTACAGTATCACCTGGTTTTAAGATATCGTGATGGTTTGGAACCGGTCTTGAAGGATGTCTCTGTGAGTATTCAACCGAAAGAAAAGGTCGGAATTGTTGGACGAACCGGAGCTGGTACATTTAGGAATTGTTTACTTTTTTCATTTTTTTATTCAACTTCTTCAATCCCGGAACCATCTACTGCGAAACTTTTTTTCAATATGCAAGGCTTGGCAAGGTTGGCCGCATATTCTACTGTGAGCGAGATTTCTACATTTCTTGTCACTCCATTTAATGCAAATTGATGCCCTGAAGTTATGCAAATGCGCACATATGAAGCATTCAAATCATTGTTCAACGGGTTCTCTTCTTATGCCAAGCAAATGCTGCTCATTTTGCTTCAATGGGCCCAATATGGGTCTGGTATCTTGTCCCCGAACGTGTCGCGCTCGCCGCACACGATCGCGTGAAGGGAAAGATTTGGATTTCCAGTGAAAGGATGCGGAGAGTCGCCGCGCAACCACTGCCGCAGGCCGTGGGAATTCGGGGAGAAGTTCCGTCGCCCTCTAAAAACAGCGATTAGACTGGGCTCACCCTATAATGTGGTAAATCCATCATGGTACTACGCGCGCGGATTCTCAGTGGACTGCCGAGCTGCAATACCGTAAGCCGCATGTAGGTCGGCAACCGACCAATGAGAATAGTGCCAGATTCGCCTCTTACATTTTACTGTGTCTCAAGCTTTATCAACATCTCCTATGCTGACTAGGCCATTGCTCTAAATATTCAACCCTCTGAAACTTTTTTTATTATCGATTGGGTTTGTTATATTTTCTGTAAAACTTTAAAATTTCAAATGATTACTACTATTGGCTGACCATCTTGTTGTTTCAGGGAAAAGTTCATTAACGTTAGCTCTATTCCGAACTGTTGAAATAGATAGTGGAAGTATTGAAATTGATGGCGAGAACATATCAAAATTGTCGCTAGAAGTAGGCTACCATAGTTTCAGTTATTTCTTAAACATGTGTGTCACTATCATTCCTGTTCAGGAGTTGAGGTCTCGGCTAACAATCGTGCCTCAAGATCCGGTATTATTCTCAGGAACTTTGCGGTTTAACCTGGATCCATTCGATGCCTATAGTGAGTATTTGTTTCACCCTTTTGTTAACTACATTGTACACTTGATTTTCCAGCTGACGAAGAAATTTGGAACGCTCTCCGGAATGCTCATTTGGAGCCCTTCGTCTCGTCACTTGCTGAAAAACTGCAACATCAAATCTCAGAGGGAGGGGAGAATTTGAGGTGAGTATCAGGCTTGGTTTTAATAATTCAAGTATTTAGATAATGTGCCGACTTTTGTCGTTTTGTCGTACAACGGACTACTTTTCATGTGTAGACAAGGCGCTTATCATTGGTCGGAATATCGCGTAGCCAATCATAACCGAGCAATTAGCGACAAGCAGATTTTCCATGCTTCTCCTTTATTACTAGAACTCCTTACTGAGACTAGAGCACTCGAAACTGCCCTTTGTTAAGAAACGATATTCTGAGTAAAGATTATACACCTTCTCTTTTTAAAAAGTGCATTACGTTTCTGAGCATTGGATACAGTCGACGCATTACAACGTGGCGAATTGCATACTTCTGATTGGCTGAGGCTTCGCGTTTCTAATTGGTCGGTTCCCAATCGATAAGAAATCCGATCTACCAGCTCTATTTAGTACTACGCTCCACAGACTCACTGCTTTTATTGAATGAAATATTTTCTTTAATTCTTGTTTCAGTGTTGGCCAACGTCAATTGCTGTGCTTAGCTAGAGCTTTGTTACGTAGGCCGAGAATTTTGATTTTGGACGAAGCAGCAGCAGCTGTGGATGCTGAAACAGATTCCCTTCTGCAGAGAACTATACGTGAACAATTCGCTGATTGTACAGTATTGACTATAGCACATCGACTACATACGGTAATTACTTTTATTGTTTACCATATATGTACTCCGTAACCTGATTTTGGCAGTAGAGCATCCCTTGATTTCAAAGAGGGGGAATCGTTAAAACTTGCATATTGAAACCTTTGAATAAGTCTACTGATAGCCAGAATACCGAAGGACGGAAGTGAACAAACCGTAAAGGCTGCTTTCATAATCCGCGATTCGGCCCGTGAGCGAGCGACGGATGACTACTCGTCCGGCGGTATCGACCAAGATTCAGTCGTGAACAAGGGGCAAGTGCCGCCCCCGTCGTTCGCTCGATCGATCGAATGCTCTCTCGCGGGCTAAATCGCGGACTATGGAGGCAGCCAAACCTTTCAAACTCATGTAGGAATCTGCTGCCGAATCTCACTTTGATCATTTAATTGATCAACTTTTAGGTGATGGACTGTGATCGGCTTCTTGTCCTGTCGGCAGGATGTGTTGTAGAATTTGATTCACCTCAGGCACTATTGACTAAAACAGATGGCGTTTTTTATGGTATGGCTAAAGACGCTGGTATTGTATGAACTTAATAAGCTCCCTNTGATCGATGCTTTATCCCTCCTAGCCCACTGTATTTAAACATATTTGTCTGCATTTTTACGTTCTCCAATCCTTTATCGTCATAAATCACGTCTGAGGTAGATTCGAATGTCTCATTGTGTCATAACAATAAGCGTTCAGCTTCATCAAACACAACACTTTCCGACATATCGGCATTTCTTTACTGTCTCTCAACAAGTATTACTTATGTGTGTAAGTGTGTGTGCGTGTGTGAATAGTGCATGTCATAATTATGTAATATTTAATATCTCTATTTCCTCAACTTGTTCGACATTGTTATTACTTTGTTGTGATATTTGAATTGATTGAGTTATAAAGATTCTTCTCTGTGTATCCCTGAACAGTTTTGTACGGTCGTAGCACAGCCTACAATTAAGCAGTTGGATATCTGTGTATGCGGTGCTTCCCATCCGTTCTCTGATAAAATTAATAATCAAATAGGCAAAATAGCTAAAGGTAAAACTTTTCATATATAAAAAGCTGACTTTGTTTGTCTGTTTGTGAATGAATATGTTGTAGAAATAAATCCAAAAGGAATTTAGAAATGATCGTTAACCCACTGAGTGACCAGAACCGTTCATTTTTCCCATGAGGCAACCCTAAGACTTCGCTAGTGGCCACTTAGGCTAGAAGAAAAGCTGACTGATTCGGAGTCCGCTATTGTTCCAACCCTC